TAAAATAAATAAAATACACTTAGTTAACACAAAAATAATAATTTTTGGGCTCGGAGTCCGTCTATTGAATCTCAAATTGGATCAGACTCATGTGTGCACGAAAGCATTGGGATTCCCAATTCAAATTAACCAGTAACACTTTATTAACATTCAAACGTCTAATATTGGGCCCGATGTCCATTTTTCGGATCTCATGCCAGTTGGGATCGAGTGCATGCAAAACGAGGCAGTCGTTGCACTGCCTTTCACAATAAGAAAAGTAATTCTAATTTAACAAGGTTGACCCTATGATTATACTAACACATTCTACTAGGCTTAGAGGGTTTGTCCCTCGGGTGTCGGGTTGGCTGGAGAATTGGTGCATGCAAATCGAGGTGACCAGATGCACAAAAGATAACTGACAAAAGTCTAAACTTAAATGAATAAGGAAACTTGTGGGTTTAATTATAATTAATTAGCCAAGGCCCTTGTGGCAAGTTGGTGTGTAGCTTCACCTTAGGGTGCAGTGAGGAAAGGTTAGAGATTCGAGCTGATGGACCAGCAACAACTCCTTTAAGTGGTACACTTATGTACACTAACTTTACTAACAAATCTAACTACCTAGCTAGAATTTTGACCAAATATATATATATATATATATAAATATAATTAATTAAACTTAATTGGAGTTGCATTAAATTAATTGGAAGTTCAAATTTTCCCTGGTCATTACAACCATAATGGAATGATGCTCACGGCAACCTTCTTGTGCTTGGTGAGCATGCAAAACATGCCTTCTTCAATATTCTACTTGTTAAGGACATGCATGGGATCCCATCCCCTTGTCCATATGCTTACTTATATAAGTGGGTCATGCCCTCCATAAGGGGATAAATATGCTTACCATAATTCCCAATGGGCCTACAATACACAAAGAAGAATGAAATATTAATTAAACTTCACATTTTTGACATTGTAGCAGTATCTATTATGTTAAATGGACTCTTCCAAGTTGTGTAGCTAGGAAAGTGGCTTTTGAATATGGCTATCTTCTATTGACCTTTACATGGGCAAAAAATAGTCCCTCTCTCCCCTTGTTTCTCTGACACTATAAACTATGATGCAGTTATTAATTTAAAAACAATTTGGACTTCTCTAACCGTGTGTATGAAGCTGACTCTTTTGTATAATGGGTGCTTGTATGTTCTGCTTGAGCAAGAGAGTCTCCATCATAGTTTGTGGGATAAAAGAGTACAAGAATGTACCTCATGTAAGATTGGTGTTTTTTTAAACAAAATCATTTGTTAATGCTTCATCTAGCCTTGAGCCACATTCTGGAAATATAAATTTATGGTAAGATGCAATAAATACTCTCTGTCAAGTGATGTATCATGGTTATGTCGCTTTGCCAAACCTAATGTGGACCAAGACAACACCTCTAACTTTTCAATTCATTAGGGGAAAAACAGTAAAATAATATTTCAGCGAGATTGATGAACCTTTTGGATCTTATAAATAGAAAAATCATGGTTAAAGGACTGTTTTAGTGAACCCTATTGCCATTGACGAATTTTGTGTTATGTAAAGATCCTATGTTCATCATTTAACAAAAAGTATTTATCTATTAGTGGAAGCAACCTTGTTAAGGAATAATACAATTGCTTTGCTTATTGATAATTTTCCATTCCAGTTAATTATGCAGTATTTAAGGAGTTATTACATGGAACCTGTCATGGCCCCATCCCGCCCCAAACAGAATAGCAGTTGTGACCGGCTAGTAGTGCCTAACTACCGAAGGCCTAGCAGACGACAAGACAAGACTGGACTAAAAACATTGGGGCTTATGCGGAAACATTTGTCTATCAATTATCAAGAGTCCATTCAGAGCATGTGCATAAGTTGTATGAAAACAAAACAAGCAAGCTTCTTATTTTATTTATCTTGACAATTACAAGTCCGAACAACTAAAGGAGAAGTACAACATTTACAAACATACTCTAAACAAAAACCAAAACATATATACAAGGCTATCGTCTCTAAACCGTGTCTCTCAAAAGTACAAAACAAAAGAAAAAGGCATCTAACTTGACCTCTCGTCTTGAACCTATTCTTCATCATCATCTACATACATATAGGGGAGAAGGGTGAGCCAAAGCCTAGGGAACAGTAATATAGTAAAGTAGTAAATGAATGAACATCGATGATTTTTAACAAAACCAAGCAAAAGATCATGTTTCCAACATAATATAATTTTATCAAGCCAAAACAAGCTCAACTTGCAAGCATATACATAGCGATGAACATTCTATGGGTTTCGAATCAGGAGTCCACATCAGGTGACAAGAGGAGCTCAGTTAGCTAGAGGTTAGTGGCATGATTCCCAATAACAAACAAGATCCAAGATGTCATCTTAATACATGATGCAAAAATATAGGATGCTCATTCATAACAAAACAATATTATAGCTTTCTTAAACATATCATAGGTTTGCATTTCGAATCATAGTTTTAACAAACATTACTTTACTACACTATTACTCACAAACGGCTCCTTGAACACTAGGTATTCTCTTCCGAAGCTTGACCTACATAAAACAAGAACAAAGCATTGAAATATCTAACTTAATATGCATAAACATAGTAATCTGAGTGTCTAAGCTTGGCTAGGTGTTTTCCTGAACTTCTCTCAAGTGTCGAGCATTATTCTAAATCTAATTCAAGTCTTAAATGAGTGTCAAACAAATACAAGGAGTGTCCAATGTGAGAAAGGGTCATAAAACACAAAACAAAGTATTTTGCGCATGTGCGGGGCTCAAACCGCACGTGCGGGACAGGCCGGGCACGTGCTTATTTCAGAATTGAATTGGTGAGTTGGGACCTAGCCTACAGGGCTCTCAGCCACACGTGCAGAACTAGGCAAATCAGCCCTGTTCGAATTTTCTTCATGTTCGAAGTGTTCTCTCTTGGTTATAAGGCTAGGGCTCATGCAAATTCAACCTAAAACATGAGAATTTAATGATAAATATAGAAGTATGATTGTTTTCCAAATCAATAACTTCAAAACATGATTTAGTTTCAAAATTTATGGATCAAAATCGAAGTTTTATCAAGAATTTCATGAACATGAGTTCTTACTCAATTCTTTCTTTCTAAATTCTCAAAACATGAAGGTAACTCATAAAACTTCTTGGAAATCACATGAAAATGTGGCGGTGGAACTTCTCAAGGGATAAAAATATCAAAACCTTAGCATGAATCAAGATTATTAAACTTGTCTTTCATGGTTTTCATACTTCTCCTACTCTTTCTCTCATTTCCTCTTCATTAGGTCAAATTAATCTTAGTTTCTTCTCAATTTCTACTAGTAGGTAGGATTACTGCAAGATTTAGAATTCAAATTTACCTCTTGGATGATCAAAAATGATGATTTTGGTTGAAATTCTTGAAGCCCTTTTCTTTCTCTCTTGTTCTTGCTCTTTCTCTTCTCTTCTCCTTTTCTCTTCTAGTTCCTTCTCTTTTCTCCAGCAGAATTCCTTTCCTTTCTTTTGTTTTGTTGAGTTAAAACAAATATTGGTACTAAGGACAAAAACTAGGCAAGGCAAAAAGGGTGAGGTATATGAAAATCACACTTAATTAACACTAATCCGGTTTAGCAAAAATTCATATACCATGAAATGGACGAGCGCATTAGACTAGGATTTTTAAGCTCCTCAATTAGTGCAATAGCACATCCTATGATTTTCAATTCAAGTCTAAAGTCATCCCCTAACTCAATGGGCAAAACAAATAAGTCTTAGACATAAGGTTCCAAACTAACTTCTTCTCATTTCCAATTCTAATAAGTCCTATTTCACATAAGCATATAATACAAGGATAAATGCAGTAATAACATGATATGCATTATGCATGAATGGTTGGTTGTTACATTCTTCCCCCCTTAAGAAGTTTGGTCCTCCAAACTTGCCTTACCTTGTGTTGTAAACAAATCCTAATATCTCATTCTCATTTCATCCTCTCTTTCCCAAGTACCATAGCATCCCTTCCAAATTCTCCTTGCATTCTACTTTCACCATCAGTATTGCTTTGTTCCTCAATTGTTCTACTTGACGATTAATGATCTGAATAGGGCGCTTTTCATATTCCAAATCTTCATCAATAACCAAGTGGCCATATTCTATCACGTGGGAAGGATCCCGAGCATAACCTTATAACATGGAAATGTGAAATACATTGTGAAGTTGCTCCATCTCTGGCGGTAATGCTAATCAATAAACCATTGAAATCCCAAACAACCCTATGTAATGTGGAGTCAATTTTCCTTTCTTCCCAAAACGAGTCTGGCCCTTCATTGGAGTAATCTTCAAAAACACATGATAACCAACTTCAAATTCTATGTTCCTCCTTAAATCAGCATAGCTCTTCTGACAGCTCTAGGCAGTCTTGAGTCGGTGTTGGTGTAGCTAATGTTACTTTCTCGATCTATACTTTCTATTCTTCTTGAGAAATTCTCTGGCTTCCCCCACTCAAATTTTCTAGCTTTCAAAAGACAAGTGAGTGGTGGGGGAGGGGGATGTTACTTTTAGGGATAAAGCCCCTATATTTTAAAGTTCAACCCTACCCTATAGGCTATAGTAGAGTATCTTTTCCTTATTTAAGCTATATCAATATAGCCAGCTAGAAAACTTATCCACTTGTTTATTCTTGGCATAATCCTTGTAAATAATTGGTATCAAATTTTCACTGATCAGGTGTGATCGATCTCATCTGTGTAAGATTACAAATTTCTCTTTCAACATGTCCAAGAATGGGCTTTGTTCTTTAACTTGAAAGGAAATTAAATGCAGCTACTCCAAAGTAAATAATTTTGTTCTCTGCTTCAGTTTATCTTCAAAGTCTAATTGTTTGATTTGGTCTGTCTTTTAGTTCCATGAACTTTGTGAGAAGCGCCGCGCCCCCCCCCCCCCCCCCCCCCTCTTTTTTTTTCCCGTCCAGTTCCATTTCACTAATGGTGTTTGATTACAGTGGGCTCGATTTGTTCTCTCTCGATTCTGAGTGGAAATCACTCCATTTGGTTGAGACAAAGAGATTTAATGTTAGCTGGTATGTCTATACACATGAAAGTCGAGTGGTTCTTCTTGCTTCAGGAATGCAATGCAAGAGTTTCATTGGATATCAGGTATTGCTATTTGCTTCTTTTGAAACTGTAACTTGATTGCGGAACTGTTTATTAGATCCAAATGTTCTTAAAAAGTAAATGCAAACTTACAGTATGCTGTTTTATTTTTATTGGAATTTTTTCTTTTTAAACTTATAATTGCATATGGATTATCTGAGGTGTGAGCATGATGTGTCAACTGGGTTTGAAAAATTAGTGGCTGAAAGAAAAAAAAATCTCTATTATTAATTTCCTGCTGGAACAGATTTTCATCTTCTTGTTAAATAATGAATTTCTTAGGTGAAGATTAAATTTCTTGGAGTAGTATGTTCATCTATTATCACAGCCCTGAAGCCTGTTTCTTCTGTTAGTTTGACTCAGTTTATTTTTTCTGTTTAGCTTTCATCTGCAGGGATTATTCGTTTGCCAAGGTTTGAGATGGCAATGGCTAAATCTGAGGCAAATAGTAAGCCCGTCCTAGCTGCTGCTGATGTCCATATTGTGACAGTGTAAGGTTTCAGTTTTTGTTTTTTTCATTGAGTTCCTTTTGAGAGTAGAGTTAAGTTCAACCAAAATTTAATTCCAAATTCTCTTGTCAATTCACAGTTATGGTAGAATATATTGCTTGCAAGTTGATGGAGTTGCAATGTTACTCCACTCATATAGGTTCTACCGTGATGCAGTTGTACAACAGGTAAAACTCTTGCTGCGGTTCCTCAATCTTTTGGTCCATTTAAGTTCAGCACCTGGAAATTGATCCAGTGGTGAGATGGTAGCGTTTCGAACTAATGTGTGTTAGGTGCATGTTAACAACGAGCATTAAGCTTTACCATTTCAGTCTGTGCATGATAAGAATTATCAATTGAAAGAAAATTCCAGATGCTGTTCATGAATTTGAGGGACGTGCTTCTGTATAATTTTTAATTGATGAAGAACTGAAATCTCATGATGGGCTTGGTTTGCTTGCTGAAGAATATAAAGGCAAATGCTTCTTGTTGATACTAGTTAAAATGTAAAGTATGAAAGATTAGAGAAGTAGATGAGAGGAAAGGGAAACTAGACATAATAGGTGTCAGAGTATTAATTAACCCTACACTGTAGCACATTTATATTAGACTAAAAATATATCCATATGACAAGAGTACCCTCACTAGTATAAAATAGTGACAACTATACTATTCTAACACTTTCCCTCAAGCTGGAGCATGGAGGTCAAACATGCCCAGCTTGGTAGACAACAGCTGAAAAGAGGGCCGAGCCAATGGCTTGGTGAGAATGACACCAAACTAAGAAGTAGAATGACGATTGGAGTGGTGTCCGTGCTTTGTAGACTACCTGCCCAATCAGTATCGCTAAGGCCAGTGGTAGACAAGGATGAAGATGGATGATATAAGAGGTCACGACCCGGAGCACTTTTCAAGTAAAGCAAAATACGACAAACATCATCAAAATGCGGTTATGGGGAGCATGCATAAACTAACCAACCACACTAACAACATAAGTAATGTCCGATTGCATAACCGTGAGATAAATAAGCTTGTCAAGAAGGCGACGATAGCAACCAACATCGGGAAATAAGTCACCATGCTTGCCATCAAGTTTAATGGAGGACTCCATAGGAGTGTCATTCGATTGAGCACCCAAAAGATAAAGTCTCAGAAAGGAGGTCAACACATTTCCATTAGAGGGAGAAGACCTGTGGCAGAACGAACAAGCCGCCTCAATCCCAAGAAAATATCGAACATTACCCAAGTTTTAAGCAAGTGCTGACTTAAATAACGTTTTAAGTTGGTGATACCAGCAGAATCACTACTAGAGAGAATGATATCATCCACATACACAATCAAAACAACAGTACTGGCTAAAGAGTGTTGAAAAAAAACAGAGTGATCATGGGTATAACGTTGAAACCCATATGCAAGGACGACACTTAAACAATCAAACCAAGCACGAGGCAACATGTTCAACCCATACAAAGCCTGGAGGTTGATCCATATAGACCTCCTCTTGCAAGTCACTATGCAGAAAAGCATTTTTGATATCTAGTTGAAATAAGGGCTAGACTGACTAACAACCAAACGAGAAAAAGTTTAAAGATAATCAACGTCATAGGTCTAAGTATAACCTTTAGCAACCAAACAAGCTTTAAGGTGCTCAACAGACCCATTAGGTAGATACTTAACAATAGACCTAACAACAACCAACAGTAGGTTTCATAGGATGAAGAGGTGTAAGTTCTTAAGTCTGATTTTGGTGAAGTGCACTCATTTCCTTATCCATCAAATGTTTCCACCCAGACATGGACAAGGCATGTTGATACAAGGTAGTAAGAGCAACAGAGGACAAACTACAAGCAAAGGAATAGAAACAAGGAGAAACTTGAGCATAAGAGACAACACGTCGAGCTTTGGACCGTTGATAAACTTGCCAAGGAGACTTAGAAACCACATCAAGAATTGACAAAGGAGACTTAGAAACCACCTCAGGAGATGAAGACTCAAAAGGAACTGGAAGAGTAGGAGTTGGAAAGGAACACTCCTTCACAAAAAGAGAGAAGATCCGAGGACAATTGGGGACCATGCAACAAAAAAAAAGAAGCAAGTAGACTTAAAGAAAGTGACATCAACACTGACAAGATATCAATGAGACTCAGGATAATAACAACGATAATCTTTTTGAGCCCGAGAGTACCCTTAAAAGACATTTCCTAGCCTAAGGGGATAACTTATCTTGACTAGGGTTAAGGATATGAACAAAGGCCACACAACCAAAGGAGGAAGAGGAAATGGTGATTCATTAGGATAGAGTAGGGAGAATGGAGAATGATTTTGTAAAACCACCAAGGGCATACAGTTAGTTAGAGAACAAGCAGTAAGCATGGTGTCAGCCCAAAAATACCTTGGAACCTGCATATTAAACAGTAAGGTATGAGCAACATCCAACAAATGTCAATGCTTGCGTTCATTAACACTATTTTGCTGTGACGTTTGTGCACAACTAGTCTAATACATAGTACTATGATCAACATAGAATAATTGAACAACAAACTATATGTATTCTTGAACATTATCAGATCCAAAGACCTTAACACATTTACCAAACTAAGTGCAAATGCCATATAAAATTTGAAAATGATACTAGGTAAATTAGATCGCTGCTTAAGTAAAAATAACCAAGTCATCTGAGAATAATCGTCTACAAAAATAACAAAGTAAAAAAAAAACCATTAATAGTAGAAGTATGAGAAGGACCCCAAATATCCATGTGGACTACTTCAAATGACGCAAACTCGCAACTAATAACTCAATTAGGAAAGGAACTATGATGATGCTTGCCAAATGGACAGGCTTCACAATCAAGACTAGAAACAGGACTCAAATCAGGAACTGCCAATTTAAGCTTTGCCAATGATGGACGACTTAAATGGAAATGCCACTGGAAAAGGGATACAACGGCACTCAAAGCTGATGAAGAAGCATGAGAGTGATTAGAGTCTAAGTAGTATCAGAAGTAGTATAAGCTGCCTTTCTTATGTCCCGAACCAATCTTCTTGGTCTTGAGGCCCTGCAAGATACAAGCAGGAGAGAAAGTTACAGAGCAAAGTAAAGCTTTGGTCAAGTGACTGATGGAAAGCAAATTAAAAGGAAAATGAGGAACACAAAGATTAGAGGGTAATGAGAAAGACTCGGTGGGTCGAATAGTACCCTTCCGACTAACAAGATAAGACGACTCATCAACAAGAACAATACTGTGTGTAGCAGGATGTAAATAATTGCAAAGAGACGCTTACCAAACATATGGGAGCTAGAGCCAGAATCAAGGATCCAAGGTTGACAAGAATGAGCTGCACAAGCAATATTACCAGAACTAGCTAAAGTGGCATTGGAAGAAGAAGGCAAAGTGGCACGGAGAGACTGGACCAAATCAGAAAGCTCACTGAGGTGAGTGTTAAGTGCATCAAAATCATACAGAGGAGCAACATGGTCAGATGAAGTAGAAACCTGGTGAGAGGATGAAATTGCATTGGTAACTTGATGTATATAATTAGGCTTACCATGCTTGTGCCGACAATATGGCTTGGTATGGCCATTAACACCATAATAATCACACTTCCGATCACTGTGGCATGACGAACCACCACCACGAAAATGACCTCCATGAGAGGCACTAGAAGAACCATCATAATGAGAGATCTCACACACACCACTATGTGAATGACGACCTCCAAAGCCACCACGAGAACCCCCATGAGAATAACCACGACCTCCACTTTGGGGAACCAAAGTAGAGGAAGACAAAATGAGTGGTAGATTCTAGTATAGAAGAACTGTGACCCAACAAATAACGCAACAATCGAGAGTAGGCATTGGCAGCGGTACGCAAAGTTTCACTAGCAAGAATTTGGTCATTGATTAGAATCCAATCCAAAGAGCAATGAGGCAATCATAAACGCTTCTCAATTACTCTTTTGTTGCACTAAGTGAGTAGTAAGAGGCGGATGCTACGATAACTGATCCCACAAATTTTAGAAGTACTATAATATTTGGATGACGAGCGCCCAGATTGCTTAGTGGCAAAAATGATTTAGGGAGCAAGTTTCAAATCTACTTCGAGGTTTCATAAAACTTGACGCTAGTCGCCACATGGGGTTTCAAACTATGCCAAAGCCAACCCATCACAACAAAATCTTCACTCAACCAAGTCATCATAGGACTCATCCTCGATGGGAGGAGAGTTGGTAATAAATTTCAACTTAAGCTTCCCACGCAAAAATATCTTCTTTACATGTGCCCAGGCCTAGTAATTCTGCCCAGCTAATTTCTTTGTACTAATGGACTTCGGCACCTCATCATCTTTAAGGATAGAGGGTTTTGTTTCAGCCACGAGTTGAAGAGAGATCACAACTCACAAACAAATAATACGAACTAAAGAGACCCAATCAGGACGCAACAAGACAAAACATTGGAAGAGCTAGAAATATAATACAACTCCAACAAGGCAAATCAATTTTTAAAAGGCTTTATTGAGGCTTGCCTCAATGTTCACCTTGCCTCGAGGTTGAGGTAAAACGCATCAAGGCTTTGATTTTTAGACTATACTGCCCCAAGGCTTGCACATCACAGTTTGAGATATACGCCTTTTGTGCGCTTTTTGTGCATGAGCATATAATGAGTACGCACATGAAGTGGTTGCTTAGGCTCTTGTTAAACATAGTCTAGTAGATGGTTTAAACACAAAAATTAAAAAATAAATAAAAATAAATTAAAAAGAACCCTTTTTGCAACTATATGCTATAGGAGTAAATGATCAATCAAGAAAAAAACACAAAGTTAGGCTTCATTTGGCAACATGGATTTGTAGCCAAAAAACCACTATAAATTGTCACATCACTCTCTCTACTTTCTATACGTCTTTCGTAAACGGCCAAGAAGCCAACTAGAATAGTCAATTCCCAAGCAAGGCCTTAATGCTCAAGTGAGAAGCTCAATCACTAAAGTTAAGGATATCAATTTTACTTTCGATGCAAGTTTCATTCTTTGCAGTGAAATGTTCAATGTCTTGAGAAGACAAGTATTTATACCTTTATATTTAATTTTTACTTATTTATTTATTTATTTAAATTTATTTTGGTTTTGTTGGGTGATTTTACTATTTTGAAATATTGAACTTATTAAATATTAAAATTTAAAATTTAAAATTTGAAATGCTTACGTCTCGATGCCTTGAGGCTTACACCTCACCTCATGAGGGGTAAAGCATCTTGGGTTACGCATTTGCCTTTAAAAACTTTGGGGCAAACTAGCATCAACAAATGCTAGAAGAGCCAAAGAACCAAGCAAAAAGAAGCAGCAACTTGCTGGAAGTGCAGTACGAACACAAGGAGAGAAGAACCTTTGTATTGTTGAAGTATACATACGAATTCAACAAAAGGGCAAATGAACCTCCAAAATGTACTCCTACATCCAGTCGGCACCTGTAGGTTGGTTTTGAGCAAAGAGAAACACCAAAAAACTCCTCAAATTGCAGATCAAAAATATTGGACTCCTTAGGCCAAAAAATTTCAAACAATTAAAATCATAATCAAACAAACTCCAAACAATCCAACAAAGGTCACCATAAATCTTAGAAAATCAAGACGAGTCGGATCATGTGTTCAACCAACAATGATGCCTGTACCAGCACTGACGTCATGGTACCAATGATGACATCAGCACTACAGTCACCTCACTGTGATCTCCAGATTCTATGAGTAAGTGCTAGGAAAGGATCGGTTACTCTGATACCAAGTTAAAATGTAAAGTATGAAAGATTAGGGTTTGGAGTTAGAGAAGAAGATGAGAGGAAGGGGAAATTAGACATAACAGGTGTCAGTATTAATTAACCCTACACTGTAACACATTTATATTAGACTAGAAATATATCCATTTGACGAGTACCCTCACTAATATAAAATAATGACAACTATACTATTCTAACAATACTTATTCTAATTTAATTCAGACAATGCCTTTAAACTGCACCAATTAACTCTGCCAGAACATCAGAGGAAAAAAAAAAAAAAATGAAAATACAACAGCAACAATAACCGACTTAAGATATTAGGTTTTTTGGCTAGTTACCAAACATTGTTGAGTAATATAAGAAAATGATAGATCTTCCCATATGACTCCTCATATGCTTAGGTGTAGCATTAGCTTTGTTGGTATCTTGTGCCACATTCTAAGGCAAAGCTGCAGCGTAGAGTCCGGGTTGGTACATGCTTATTTCGGTGTCTGTGTGTCTTATCCATGAATTGGTAGGATAATAATGGAACTGATGATTTGGTAGTAAACAATTTCCAATTTGAAGAAATTTGAATGTGATCTGCACACTATTGGAAGATTTATCTAAGATATGGCAGTGTTGTTTTTGAAACTCTCCTTAATTTGTTTGAGAATGTTCCTTTGATATGCTTGTCTTTCTTAAATGTTAGTGTGGAGAAAGTTGTCCAAGTTTTGTTAGTAACCAAGAATTATGGATTTTATTACCATGTGACTAGTGTTGGTCTTTTATTTTCTTTAGCTAACAAAGGCTACGTTGTCAATATTCAACTGAACTATCAATAAATAAGTAAAATAAAATTCTAAATGCCAACAATTGCCAACAATGAATCAATCTCTGGCCAGCTCTATGTAAAAATGCTATAATGCTCTTTTTTAACTCAAACAATAAAGGTGCCCTCCTGCAGTTATCATTTGTTAAAAATGATAAATGTATGCTTAGGCAAACCTGTTTTAGGTGCTTGCATGGGAGTTAGAAGGGAGGAGGTGTAATTAGGTGTTTGATCATGTTGTTGATCAAAGTAATTTCATACTTCTCTACACAGTTGTCATTGTCTGTCTGAATGGTCTTATATTCTCATTGCCAGCATTTTTCTGATATTAAATAGTTTTCATGTCTTTGGATTACCTAATGTAGTGGAAAAACTTTTTTCTTTTTTGGGTGGAACCACAAGGTTAATGGAAACTATATTCGAATTCCGTTTGTGTTACAAATAATTTTCTCATGCATGCTTGTGTTTTGTGTATTTGTACTTGTGGAACCAAAGTAGTGAAAATATTTTGACTTCACATCCAAACAGGGGCTTTTTTATGTTCTCTGTCGATAAATAATGAATTTTTTATTATTGCATTTTCAGGGTTCATTGCCAATTTATTCAAGCAAGATTGCTGTGAGTGTGGTTGATAATGTCTTGCTTGTTCATCAAGTGGATGCAAAGGTTGTCATACTGTATGACATATTCTCAGATTCCCGAGCACCTATTTCTGCTCCACTTCCACTCTTGCTAAGAGGTTGTCCTAGGGTCGCCACTTCATCCTCTCAATCAATTAGTAGAGATGCAGAAACTTTAGAGGCTAAAGATTTAAGTGATACGGAAGCAATCGTCTATGGAGATGGCTGGACTTTTCTTGTTCCTGATCTTGTATGTGATGCTGCTAATGGACTTTTGTGGAAGATTCATCTGGATTTAGAGGTAAATATTGGGTTTTTGTTTTGGCATATTTTTTGTTACTAGTTGGCGTAAGTGGGGGTTGCATTATCATTGATAGAAATAATACAGCAACGCAATATACAATGTTTTTTCAAGAAAATCTCCAACACGAAATACAAAATACTACTACTTTTCTATTCTATCAATCATAAACACATCTTACATTTCATGAACCAGCAAACAAATTGGCCCCTTGTCTTGAAATTGAACTCTATGGGTTAGCCGGTTAGAAAGATTGCTTTTTGTCGTCTCTCGTTTCCTTCTCTGTAGCACCAACACTGCCACCACTTTCAAAGCTGGAACTGAAAACAAATCCACCTTCGAGTTTTCCCTGCGAAGTTAATTGAAAAATAACATTAGTAATTTGTGTGGGTACAGTACATATGATTCTATACAAATGTGAACATCTTCGCAAATAGTGTTTTCCATAGTTCATTTTTGAAATAAATATTTAACCGCTAGAGAGTAACCAACCTTCTCCACAAAGCAATCCTCCGCAACAATGTTTGAAATGTAATTCTTTTTGTAGTAAGGAGATAATTAGTGTTCAAAACAAAATGTTCTTTGAATCCTTTCTTGAAAATAATTCTAAAAATTTTCATCTCACTTGCATTTGTGTTTTATAAGGATAGAACAAACAAATGAAAACTCAGAATCTATGAAGCACGAGCACAGACACAGACATGGATACAGACACGGACATGGTGATTTTAAAAAATTGGAATACGAACACGGCAGGGGACATGACAAATTATTATTATTATTTATTATATATATTTGATATGTAGATTAATATTATGTTACCAAATAATCAAAATTAATAACAACTAACATTAATTCAATATATATAAACCACTACATTTAAACAAATTGATAAATTATCCATATTTGAACACGTGTGTCCCTATCGTGTCCCTTGCAAAAAATAAATAAAATTTATTTGGTGTCCTTGTCGTGTCCCCAGCGTGTCCTTGCAAAAAATAAAAAAAATAATAGTGATAAATAAATAAATAAAGGGACATGCCATTTGGCATGTCCCGTACGTGTTCCCTTGTTTGACACTGCTACAATGCCTATTTTGATGTATTTGTGCTTCAAAGCTCTAAATACTTTAAATGTTTCATGTCAAACAAATGAGAATAGGACAAACATATGAATGCTGTTACATGTGACAGATTTAGAGATAGATCAACCTGCCACACTTCTTATTGGAGTATAAGAAGTTATCTTTAATGCATTACATCCCTTATTTTTGTAAAAATCTTTTTTATTTTCTGATGAAGCATACACATACTGATCAAATATCGTAAATTGAGTTACACACAATAATGTCTTTTCTTTTATTTGGGTGAATTAAGTCATAAAATAGAACAAGAAAACTATACACAGATACAAGGGGCATACCCTAGGCCCTAAAAAAAACTAAAAGGCCAAAAGAGAGGAAAACCAAAAGAAAGAGCAATAGAGCTACCAAAGATCAAGGCTAAACCAGGGAAATGTTCATAGACCACATGCAACTACATTTTTTTTTTTTTTGGGCGGAAGCAATCGTCTATGGAGATGGCTGGACTTTTCTTGTTCCTGATCTTGTATGTGATGCTGCTAATGGACTTTTACCACAAAACCTGGATAGACAACCAACAAACAAGGCCATAGGTAAATTCAGCACTGCAGCAGCACATCTATAGTATTACCATGAAAACCTCTCCTGGACTGACACTTCACCAACAGTGCTAGAGCAGCCAACTATGAAAGCCACGGGAACAAAAGAAAGAAGAGGCAGCTGCACCAGCACACTAAACAAGCAAAAACAGAGATTAATAAATGTTTTGATCTTGACAAGATATACACATTATTATAACCAACAACTTTCTTTGACTGAATATAATGATATTGAGATAATGTTGACTCCTAACCCATCATATATACTTGTTTAACACTACAAGAAGCGTCAATTGTTTTTGCAGCTCCTAATGCCAAGCAGTGTGTGCTCTCATTACAAACAATGACAAGGGTAAATTAAAATATATGGACAGTTGTCTATGGCAACTGTAATTAGAGAGAATCATGCTTACCAAACAGCAGAACAAAGTCAAGCCAACTGCAAACAGGTCTTTTATTGTGGTTGATGCATTTTGATATAATATTACACAAGCAACAATCAAATTGGCAAGGAAAAGAAATCACAATGAATATTGTGAGGGTGCACCGAAATGATACAAGGGTAATAGTATGAACATCCAAAGCCGTTTTACGAAAAGGTGTAATCAGCCATTTTGTCAAACAAATTGAGTATATAATAGAAAGGGCTAAGACTTATCAATAAACAACAGTACTTTGGTCATTACACCGTATAATTCATATCAAGTGATTTCAAATAATCTTGGTATATGATAAGATTTTACTAATTCTCTCTTAATCCAAAGGCAATCTATATAATGCCCTTCTATATAAAGCTATATAATTTCTCCAATTCTTTTTTTCAGTATGTTTCCTTTTGCATGGATGAGTTCCAATCCATCACATAAGATTTCTATTCATGACTGAGAGGGGGCCCTCCTGCAGATGCAAATCCACATCAAAGACAATAACAATATTTATGGCATTAAATAAAGACTACCAAATGATTTTCTTCATTCACATTTTTTTCTTGGTGGCTTAGGGTTTAGGTTTTAGGGTTTTTCAATGCTTTGTTTTTGAATTTATTGTAGTGTCTTTAAATCTACAAAGCTAGCAATTTTGTTCAGGTATTTATTGTATGCCCAACACAGATGGCTAATTTCCGAAGAAGTAAGCATGCAGGTTTTCATATGAACATATTCACAAACACCTCGTAGGCATATTCAATGGCTGCAAACCTATAATCAATATATAAATCACAACTCAAACAGTACAAAGAAAACATGTTCCAAGAAGGGAACATGTAACTTCTTTGTTAATTCTAAGAGCAAACAATTAAGAGACGTGCAATCTTAAACACAAAGCAGACATGTAATTTCTTGGTTAATTGTTAACAAACCTTTGTGGTGAGTTAGGAATGGAACCTGATATCCAATCTTCACCCGAGCAACACCTCAATAGTGAACCATTGTTTGAAAAGAGAGTAGAGAACAAACATCATCACTGTATGGGAATGCCAGGAAACCCAAACCTCAGGCATAACATAATTCAAAAGAAACCTTCGCTTGTTTCTCTTCTCTGGTTTTCTGCAGCATGGACAGACCCATTGTCATGTGCTATAGGCCTCAATTAAGGCAACTTCTGTGAAAAAGAGCAGATTTGTGCGGCCTGAATATTAGAAGGAAAATAAAATAAACAAAAAAATTAAAAGAAAAAACAAACAAACAAACAATTACAAAATGAAAACACAAGATTACCTGAAAGGAAATCGACAATAAACTCTTAACACTTCAATTGTTCAACGTAACCCATGTAACATCCAACAATAACCTAACATCACCAAAGGAAGCAAATTCAAAACGAAGATTGGGAAAAAAAGAAGGGAATCATAAAAGAGTTGCCAGAAGAAAGCAACATAAATCATCAAACAAGAACTGTAGCTAGGGTTTTGATGTACGTTGATGATCTCATCTCCCCTGAATTTGTTTATGGACAATGAGATCTGTGAAGCAGTGAAACCTCAAATAGTAGTCTTTGTTGGAGCTGCGGAACTGAACAATGACTGCAAGGAATGAGTAAATGGAGAGGGGAGAATATGGAACGGTAGAGAGTGAAGATGAAAGGTGGTTCACCGAACGGTGCGAAAAAACATAATCTCAAGTTGGCTGCAATTATTTGTAACACCTGGCTTGAATTCCACAAACACAGCACACGTATACATCGCAATTTTTCTTGGAACAGTACAGGCAGCAGCTATCTTGGTTCATCTGTTATTCTATTTGCACAAAATGGGTATATTAGGTATTTTAATGCATAAGACTCACCTAAGAATTTTTGTGCTTTTATATAATGCATATAGATATGTTCTGTTATTCTTGAAGTGAGTGTTGATCTTTCCTTTGCAGGCTATTTCTGCCAGTAGCTCTGAAGTGCCATCAGTACTAGAATTCTTGCAGCGACGTAGGTTGGAGGCATATAAGGTGGTAGCATTTTCCACATGAATATTTATATGGTCTTATCTTATTACAATTGGCCTTATTTGCTTTAGGGGACACTGGTATGGAAATGCAAATAATGTTTCAGTTTTTCTTCCATGGTTTTCAAAAGACATCCATTAATTAGATGCAGCCATTGTGTGAATTGCAGTCATTGGTGAAATTTGTGCTGCTATAATTGAATTTTTTTTTATTTTTTTTTTGAACTTTTGGATCATTATGATTATCCTTTATATGTTATTATGAATGGATTTAATTTGAGTATTTTTTTTTTTTGGTTCCAATACCCTTGTTCTGGATGTTGAGTGCCTAATTGCCTGTAGACATGGTAGTTATGCAGTGTCACTTTTTTTCTTTTTCAGGCTAAACAATTATGCTTGACAATAGTAAGCACTATTATTCTTGAACGAAGACCAGTGTCCATGGTTGCTAGGGCAATAGACATATTAGTTACCTCTTATTCAAATTCAATCAAAGTGGGCAGTTATTTGAAGGGAACGAAAGCAGAGAAGAGTTCACCTTCTGGTGTTCCACAAACAAATAGCTCTAGTACTATTGCTGATGATTCCACCAGTAGAGTAGATGCCTCTGGAAAATCTGTCAAACATGAATCTGCTGGTGGAGTGCATAACGAATCTATGAATAGATCTTTAACTTTCTCAGCTTTGGATTCTGAGGATAATGCTAGCATTGAACCCCAAAAAACCAGCTCAGGTGATCTGCATTCTTTGGGTGGTAAAATGGGTGTTGAAACCCATAGTGCTGGAGTTCATCAGTCAACTTTACAATCTCAACTTCTTGGTCCAGGTGACAACCCATTGAATGCTAATGTTACTGACCATCAAGAGTCCCAAGTTACTTCAGCAGCAATTTCTCCAGACGAAATGTACAGCTTTGTATTTGCTCCTGTAGATGAAGAGATGGCCGGAGACTCTTCTTACTTGGTTGCTGTCATTATTGAGTTCCTTCGCAGGTATGCTACTAGCTGTTTTGCGTTAGTGCAATAAAGATAAAGCAATGACCAAATGGACCAGAAAGCCTAGCTTAAGGCATATAACCCAAGTTATTATTGAACATCAACATTATTTTCATTATACAGACCTTTTTTTTAATTTATTTTTGTTCTGGCGGTACCTTAACGTCTTTGTCTATTTCTGTTGTTGTAGTGCTAATTTGGAAAAGATTAAAGTACATCCAAATATTTATGTGTTGACCATACAACTGTTAGCCCGCAATGAGCGATATGCAGAATTGGGGCTGTTGATCATAAACAAGGTTTTCCCTTGCCTGCTCATAATAATTTGTATGCTTGGTAGTGATTAAATGCTGCTATTTTTCTGCTCGCATTTGATGTTGAATTTCAAAGCTGTCTGTTCTGTTACAGATGCTTGAATCCTCGAGAGAAGTCGCAATGCAACTGCTGGAATCAGGTCGCCAGAATATCCAAACAAGGAAGTTGGGTCTGGATATGTTAAGGCAGCTCTCCCTACATCATGACTATGTTTTGTTGCTAGTTCAAGATGGATACTATCTTGAAGCTTTACGGTATGCACGGAAGAACAAGGTAACTCATCCTGTGAACTCCCCTAACATAGAAAAATGAAACTAATTTATATGCACTTAAAATAGTCCTGCAAAACTGAAGCTGGGTTTATAATTCCCATTCTTCCAAGTTGGTACTTAATTATAACCTCATCTTGTCATCATCCTATCCTGCCCCAAATGGGGTAGTGTGGTAATCAGCTAGTAGTCTTTGACTACCAAAGGCCTATCTAAACAAACAAAACAATAAATAAACTTGAATAATAATTGGGAAAAATTAGCAGAAGCATTTCTATCAACCATTACAATTCATTCAGAGCAAGTGCATAAGCATTTGAGAAGAAGCAATTTACTTCTCAAAAGTATCTCAAAGAGTACATAGCTTTACAAGAAGTACAAAACATCACAAGAGAACCGATCTCTTTCAAAAATTGAATATTTACAAAACTTCGAGAACACATTCAAAACATAACTCCCAACTATATTGCATGTATAGAAAGTTTAACAAAAATGAGGTCACTTAAGCTTGCTCTTCATTACCTACATACATATAGGGAAGAGGGGTTAGTCATAGCTCAATGAATAGTATTATAACAAAGAGGTAAGATGAATGGATACAAACAACTTTTATCAAACACTAGCATTTCCAAATCATATCTTAGTCATAAGCTTGCATTTCTCAAACAATGATGATGTGCATTCATCAAAACAAGACAAGACGAGGGAATAACTGGTTTGGGTACCCGATTAGACGAATCCACCAACAGGTGGCCTGGAAGATCTCAATCACATCGCTACTAGCATGCTTACAGTTCTTTAGTAGCTAGGACCAATTTGATGATGTCATCTTTATACATTTCACATGTAAATATAGGATATCCATTCATAACAGCACATTTCAATGTATACGAAAACATATTATATTTTGAGTTTCAAAACATAAAAGTTGGACATAAAATTGAAGTAATACTATTCACCAATGGCTCTTACAAATGGGGATGATCCACGGGATTATTACAAGAAACAATGTCCATTGAAGCTCTATTCTAGTTTGTACAAATCTTAAGTTTAGGTTAATTTAAGTGTCACTTTAGTTCAGTTCATTTCCCTTGGCACAAGTTTTGGGATTCTAATTAGTCTTTCCTATGTATTAAAACAATTCGTAAGGGTCTTAGAATGTTTTAAAAAGAAAAAACACTATCTAGAAAGCCTAAAAGAAGTTAGGAAAGAATGTTTTAAAAAGAAAAAACACTATCTAGAAAGCCTAAAAGAAGTTAGGAAAGAAATGGGTACAACCCATAACCAGTAGATCCTCTTGGTATATATATATTTGATAAACTACCTTAAAAAAACAAAAAATAATGATTTAATCTTCAAAATGAAGATCAAGCTCTAGTACAATGTCAGTCTTATAGAATTCAATCTTATAGAAGAATTAAGAAATAAGGAAGAGCAAGGGAGAGAGAGAACAAACTGTACGACAATAAGAAAACACATAAGATCATGGGGTTTTCCTAGTGAGCACAATTTGGGGCCTGGGGGTGTGCTCTCTAGTTCTCAGATTCAATACTCACTAGTCCCAATAAGCTCCTTAGGGCCAGTCTATACAGAGCGTTTGCTTTGACTTTAAATGGAGTCTCTACAAGTGGGCGATAGGATTGGTTCTCCAAGCTTAGTCGAGCTGTGCATAAGCTGGCCCGGACACTTAGTTCTAAGGACACCTAGTTATAAAATATATATATAAGGATAAATAATTATTATTATGTAGTGTATATGAATATTTAGGTCAAAGATAATACTTTCGGACAATTACAAAAAAAACACTAGGGTTTTGAGGCTTGTAACAAAATGAACTTTGAGTTTTTAATTTTGTCAATTTAAACCGCAATTTTTTGATTTGCTTTCAATCTAAACCAGTTGCCTATTTTTGTTAAGTAAAATCGACAGAAAAAATAGTATTTTAGTTATTAAACCCAACGTGAGTATACACAATTTCTAAAATATCACTTTTTATTGAGTTTAATGAGTAAAATATCATTTTTTTTCCGTTGATTTTGCTTAACGAAAATAGGCAAATGGTTTAAGTTGCAAACAAATCAAAAGTTTGGGATTTAAATTGACAAAATTAAAAACTCATGGTTTAATTTGTTAAAAGTGTCAAACCCTAGGGTTTTTTTTTTTTTGTGTGGTAATTTCCCCTAATACTTTTGAAGTCTGAAGGAGATAAATAGGTATAATTTTCCATAACTTTTGTTTTATTATTAGATTTTAAGTTATTTTATTCAAACTTTTAATATATTCATGTGTAACTGTTGGAAAGTGTTTGATTAGTGTTGCCGTTGGTGTTTGACACAACACATTACCTTCTAAGAAGTGTTTGTGCTTCTTAGCTTGGCAGACTTAAAGGATTTCTAACATGGTTATGTGGTGGGCTTCAGGTGAATACAGTCCGACCTTCGTTGTTTCTTGAAGCAGCTTATACTTCAAATGATTCACAACATCTAGCTGCAGTTCTGAGGTTCTTTTCAGATTTCATTCCTGGGTTCAAAAGCACTCCAGATCATAATACATACTGCCGCGTTCTTGCTGAGATGAATTCTTCTGTCACTGCTTGAGGTGTCTGATAAATGGACAATTGATGTATCGAATTTCAAGTCACAGTTCCTGTAATGCTTTGTTGCTAGCAAGGTTTTTGAACATCCCTTTGTTTGAACCAGGAAATAATAGGCAAACTACCTGCGTTTCTTGTGTTTAATTAAATCGTAGGTGATTTCTATAATCTGATTCAGTACTGAAAATGGTGGGTATCATTATGTTATATGAAAAATTGAGATGAAAACAAATAAATAAATAATGAATTTCAATCAAATTCTTGTATTTGCACTTTTGATGGGACATTTTGGCTGAATTTTAGGCGTGAAAAGGTCAGAATCAGCCTCAATTTTGTATGGATTGGATAGTGTTCTTGATGTGGAACGTGCCATGAAGAATTTATTTATTTGTAATTTTTAGGATAGTGTTCTTGATGTGGAACATGCCATGGAGAATTTATTTATTTGTAATTTTATATTTTTGTTTATTTAATAATTATTAGTAGTTTAAATATATTATTGATTTGTATATTTATTATATTAGTTCCAAATAATTCTATAATTTAGTTTCCTATTTAAAATTAGGATTTTAGGCCTATAAATATTGGTCTTTAGTTTACATTGTAATCTTTAGTTTTGATCAAGGAGAATTCTGCTGAAACAATATATATATACATATATATATTTCCTTTTTTTTGTGGGAAATTTAGATTTCTATTTATTTATTTATAATTTATTTCTGGAATAATTGCGAAAAGCAAACGAAAGGGGGTTTTTTTTCTTTTTTTTTGGGGACCATTGCCAAACTCCAGCTAGCCCTGACCAATCCATTCAAACACAATTGGTCACCATCTGTCACGCCCTGGTTTAGTGGTCGGTAGATTATTACTAATTTATTATAGGGTAAATTATACTTACACCCTCTGAGGTTTGGATTTTAATACATCACCTCTTGATGTTTGGAAAATTACACTAATTTTTTGTCATTGTAATTATTTAGATGGAATGAAGACATTGAACTCATGCACTCTCTCTTTTTTTGTTTTGCTTTACTTTCTTTTTTTTTCTCCTTTCCTTTACTTTTTATTTTAATATAATTTCTTATGTTTTTCTATTAGGAGTTGTTACTTTTTATATATGCAGGATGATTTATGAAATGAAACTATGAACCACAGGGGTGGACATGTAATTTTCAAAACGTCAAGGGGTGGGTAGTAATTGGACCAAATTTCAAGGGGTGTCAATGTAATTTATCCTTTATTATAATTAGGGTGATTGAGCCGATAAAGTTTAATCTTAAAAGAATGTGACATTTAAGAGTCAAATAACTTCAAAATATTTTATTAATGATGAAATCCAATTTGAGATGAATTTAAATAAAAATATAATTTTTTTCAAGAACCTCAACATTCATAATCTCAAATGCCATAACAATTGTTTAGAATAAAATATCCATACATTAAAAGATAATTAAAGTTCAGTTATGAAATTATAACTTCTAAATTTAGACTTTAAATGCCACGAATGAGGTCACAACTCCAAAATGCAAATTACATAAATATCTAACTAATATAAGCATGTTAATTAAACAAAGTAGGTAGGTTTATACGCCGATGTCTAAAATAATAATAAAACTCAAAAAGGGTCTGGATACACTCGGTTATTAAAAATATAAGTAAATACAACAGCTCACCAATAATCATCTAATACATTTGAAAATTACATGATAGAATCATATTATCCAAATTCCCATTATCTTTGTTAAAATGATAGTAAGGGTAATCCATTGCTAAAATATTTCAAAATTCAATACAAAACCCATACCACTGAAAATGATAAAATATCTCATCCACAACCCAGTCAATCTGGTCGAGGCTAATTAGAACACAGTCATGTCCTCAATCAACAAAAATATTTGGAAGCTCTAATTAGAGCCACCACTAATAATGTGACAGAGAGTCCCACCCACTATCACAATATTTTTTTTTTATTTTTCATTTATTTTAAACTAACGGTACATTTAGAACTCTAAATCATTGCTGATCCCCGTCACTATCCAACTCCCTAATCCCATATTCATGGCTTACTAGACTAGCGGACTATGGGGAAACCAACTCTGTGCGGATTTACGGGCTCTCATTGATGGAATGATGTGACACCCATTCTTGCTGAAACGTACACAACAAACCAAATGGCCAAAGGAACCCTGAACAAAGCAAACAAGTTCAGAGCTAAATCAATACTCCAAAATGTAACCAAACTCAATCAATTTCAACTTCTAAGTTTCTCAACACCTTTAGAAATTAACATTTCCTTCACACAGTATTTTATTTTCATCATTCACCCTTAAATTTCATAAAAATAGATGCTTTCTTAGGAAGTTTCATTTTTAAGTTACAAACATTTCAAGAAATTACTTATATAAGTCAAATCATAGATTTTATATAAGTCAAATCATAAATTTTATCACATTCATCTATTATTATCATTTAGCATGCAAGTATACCCAAATCTCTTATTAAAAATTCAAGAACATAATTGATGATCATAATTAAATTATTCATCATCTCTAAACTAACAACAGTACCAAAACTCATTCAAATTCAATGAACATAATCTTCTAACATTGGTATTAAACTAGCAAGCAAACTTTTAATAGAAATTAGTATATTAATCGTTGTGAAATTTAAATGTATTGATGAATGCATATTATTTTCTTCATCTTAGTAGCCACTAGCCCACTAATTTCATTTTAGTAACTTTATTTCTTGAATTAAAATGAAATAATACAAAGCCCTAATTTTCTTTAAACTAGTGACATGGTGTAACAACCCCGACCCATGATTAACTGTTAAGCTATGATTAAGTATGCCAAATAAGTAATTAAGATGAAATCCTGAGTTTATTACATGTGTGTTGTATTATCTGTGTTTATATCCGTCTCCTGTAGAAATATCTGTTTGTGTTTCTGTTTTACTCTGCGAATTGAAGGCCTTATCGGCATCCGATCATGAAATTGACTTGGTATATGTGTTATTTAGAATTTTTAGAACATTATGATAGGTTCAATTGAAATTCGAACGAATTAATTAGGATTGAATGATGTGAATTAGTTACCTAAGCTTAGCTTAATTAAATGCCACTAATCAAGCCTATATAAGGCTTAAGTTGATTTTAGAACCTCACTCACACTCCTATTTCATCATTCTTGAGGCTTAAACATGAGAGAGAAAGGGAAAAAGGAGACTTGAACTCAATTAAGGAGAGTTGAAGAGAATTTGAAGGAATTGAAGAAGCCTTAGGAGAATTAAGCTTCCACACTTGTGAACTTAAGCTTAAGGTAAGAATTCAACCCATGAATTAAGTGTTTGGCTCAATAAGAGGATGACTTCAAGAGAATTAAAAGAGTAAATACAAAAATTAAGCTTAGATGATAGAATTGAGCATGGTTCATTTCATGACAATTTGAGTTTGAATTTCAAACAAATCTCACATGCATGTGTCTATCTTACCTTTATTTTGAGAATTCATCTTGTTTGATGCCACTTTATATCAATTGATCATGTTTTGGAAGCTTTGAAGTCAAGTTAATGTATGCATGTTAAGGGTTCAAAGTTTTAAGGTTTGTTTTGTGCAATTGGCAAAGCTTTGGGCCTTGATTTCATGAAACGATCTTTAATTCTCCATGTTTTGCAAGTTTCCAAGTGTTTTCTCAACCTTTGGGTCCCAATGTTGAGTTTTGAGGCTTTGAATTCAAAGTTTGCATTACATACATCAATCTGGAAATTCCAGATTCTGCTTTTTTGCTCAAGCGACAGAATCTGCGCTTGAGCAACCCCTTTGTGTTTTGCACCTCCTTTCGAGCGGCCAAAAGTTGGCTTGAGCGTAAAATGCATACTCTTAGAAGTTCACATATTTTGCAGACCGCCTGAGCGACAAGAGTTGCGCTCGAGCGAGGACCTCAGTCTTATGATTGAGCGGCCGTCCAGCGGAGAATTCACACAACCAGCACTTTTGCAGAGTTTACAGACCGCTCGAGCGAAGGAAGTTGCGCTTGAGCGAGGCTCCTTTTTTCAGTATATTTGCCTAAGTGTTTTGAAGGGCATTTTGGCATTCTCATCGCATCCTAGGCATTCCTAAGCCATATTTAAGACATGATGATGAGGATAAGGACTAGAAACACACTAGGAACGAAATAGAATAAGTTAATGAATTCTGAGTGTGTGTCTGTTATGTTTATGTAGGTCACGCGCCACAAGTTATTTGATTCATCTGCTTTGTCTGTTCTGCAAGTGAAGCCATCTGTAAGGTAATAACTCTGTAAATTTATGTTTAACTTTAATTATTTTCTGATGATATGAAATGATCAATTTTTTGAAATGCTATGTTTTGTATGAATGAATGATTGTCCAAGTTTCTGAAATGTATTCGTGGCATTCTTAGCACATGGCCTTTGTCCGAGGGTAGCAATACCGTGGTCTATGAGCACAAGGCCCTTACCCCGGGGGTAATAATACTGTGGTCTCATGGCCCTTGCCCGGGGGTAACAATATCGTCGCTCAAGTATGTTACAAGTTCCCGGTACCGAAGGTTCCTTTATGGAATTGACAAGTATGACCCTTAATGCTCTGTATTTGATCTGTTAGCGCTATTGGATGTACCACATATGATCAAGCATGAACTCTGATTTCTGTATATGATTTGAACAATAATATGAATGTGAATCTATTTCTATTTTTTGAATTATTATGGGACATCATTCATTCAGCCTTTTACTCTGTTATTATTCACTGGGCTTTCGCTCACTATTTATGTTATATATGTAGGTGAATAGGTGCGTGACCAGGCCTAAGCTATTGCTTGGAGAGTTTTGTTTGTTATCTAGCCACCGTGCCTCCCAAGGAGGTTCCCGTCTAAGAAGTCAATTTTGTGAATCATGTTGTAATAACCCGACCCTCTTATATGCCTTACATCTTTATTATATGAGTAATTACATGTTTAATGTGAAATTCCATGTGAAGTTGTGCTTACATACGTGAATAGTTTAATTAGGATACTATAGCTGTTGGTCATTGGAGAAAATCTATTAAAATGGAGATGTTTGGGCTAGAAATTGAAAGCCTTAGAGGCGCGATAACCCGAAATTGACTTTACCATTATGATTAGCATGATTTTTAGTACTTAATATAAAGTTTTGTAAAAATTTGGTTCGTAATGAATTAAATTGATTTAGATTTAGGCCTTAATTAGCCTAATAAACCCATAACTCAAGAGGAAG